TTCATATCTTTTTAAGATTTGAGACTATTGTATGGAACTATAGATATATTTATTTAGAATTTTTATATTTGTTAATGATTTGAGATTATTGATGATTAGAATTTTTAGCAAGTTTTTATTGTGTTAAAAGCTTTTGTTTAGAGTTTTTAATGATTATTATATGTAATATTTTAAGTTTTTATTTAAGAGTGTCCAAACAAATAAATAAAAAGATGTTTTTATAAGATTTAAGCCCAAAAAAACATAATTAAAAAAATCAGATTTTATTTAAAAAAATTTTAAAAAATTAAAAAAAATTAAAAAAAAAAAGGGGTTCGGGACGTCCCGGTCCCGTCCCAGATCCGTCCCGTCCCGACCGGGACCGGGACAACCCCGGGACGGGCCGGGACACGGGACAGAAAATCTGTCCCGTTACTGTTCACCGGGACGGAACCGGGACGGGCCTGTCCCGGTCCCGATCCGTCCCGTGAACAGCCCTAGTCGCCGCCGCCATTGCCTCATCCTCTTCATTCTTATTTGTGAGTTTTTCACCTCTATTCTTTCTGTATATTTCATAATTTTTGTGGTTGATTATTTTCTTTGGTTAAAAATAAGATGTTTAATTTGAGTTTAAAGAGATCTGATTTTTATTAAATCTGAGTTTTTGATTTTATCAGATTTGAGTCTTTGAGTTTATTTTTATTAAATCTTAGTGGCTTTGATCTGGTGGCTGAAAATGAAGCTAAGTGGCGCTATTACGAAAGGAAAGAATCTACGTTTGCTCCATCAGAATGCTTTTAATTGGAGAGAGATTATTAGTTAATTGATTTTTAGACCCCTTCTTTTGAGGTTTTGTTCTCCTGTTCCATTCTAATCAATAGTGGAAAATGCAGACCAAACAAAAAAAATCATAGCAGTTATTTATATAACCATCGTGAAAAGTCACATACTATGACAGTTCTTAAATCGCTGTGAAATCCTCTACATTTTATGTCGATGACATAAATGTCGCTCTCAAAACAGCTATAAAAAGCTCATTTTAACCGCTGTTAAATGTTTTTTTTAGTAGTGAGTTACCTGAACTTTGCGGACGGAATCAAAATCAAAATTTTTTTTTTTTGGCCAAAACAAAGTCCATATTATTGATACTTAAAAAAAGAAATACAACCACTAATAGCCAAAAAGGCCGAAAAAGAAAAACACTCAAAATGACTAACAGAAAAACCTACCACACAAAAACTCACAAAAGAAAAGAAAACCAAAACAAACAAACATAAAGGCGATCAATAGAAAGCCCAATCAGCCAATACCACTTCTATCAAAACTTTGTGCATCAGCAAAATCAGTCGGCTTAGCAGAACTTCTTCTCAACATAGCATCAGTGACCAAGATCCGAGCCAAGGAAGGTGTTGGATTAAAAATCCACCCAATCCGGCACACCTCCTTTCTACAATTTACAGCAACCCAATTTGCTGCCTCATTGCCCTTCCTAGGAGTTAGAGCAATATCAGAGGTCTCTATGCCATCAAGAATTGAAAGAACATTCTGCAGTTCCCACTTACATCTCCAGTCCACCTTCTCAGAGGTGCTTCTTTTACAGCACCAGAAAAGCTCCGAGCAATCTGTTTCAAACACTACATTACTTATCTCAAGATCTTTTGCAATGCATAAGGCTCTTTGCAAAGCCAAAACTTCAGCTGCAAAACCAGAATTAGCCTTTATTTTATCCGCAAAACCCCATTGCAGTTCCCCTTCCTTGTTTCTGCAGATAATGCCTACAGCTGCCAAACCAGATTTCTCCTTAAAGGAACCATCACAATTGATCTTCAAAAAACCTTCCATGGGAGCCTTCCAACCTACTTCCTCAACCTCATTAAGAATCTCCATTTTCGTACTCCACCCCTTAGTCTCCCACAATTCCCTTACCGCCCTACCAGCATCAAGTATTACCTTGGTAGGATTTACTTCCTTCTCTTCAAAGACTACCTTATTCCTTTCTTTCCAAATTAGCCACATTAGCCAAGCAACATAGGCTAATTGGAATTCATCAAAGATTTTTTCTTCCACCAATACTCTAACGCACCAGCTTTCAAAATTTCTCAGATCCTCATTTTCAAATCTAAACGTGAGTTCACTTCCAAACCATACACTTCTTGCCCAAGAACAGTTAAAGAGAGCATGTTCAATCGTTTCTACTTCCTCCTTGCAGACAGGACACATGGCCGATGTACCACATCTCCTCCTCACAAGTTCTTCTTTCACTGGTACTGCTCTAATCAGACATCTCCAAATAAAATGACTGATTTTTGGCAAAACTTTTATTCTCCACACCTTCTTCCAAAACACAGGAGTTAGTACTACAGAGGAGCTAGTACTTTCAGGAAAAACATCCCTTTTAATTTTTTCTATGCAGTACCCTTTTTTTACCTCATATTTGCCATTCTTTGCAGCTTTCCACACCAGCTCATCCTTTCTACTTGTAAAGCATAATGGCACATTAATTATTTTTTCCAAAACGTCTTCAGTTACCAACTCTCTCAAACCATCTATCCTCCAATTACCGTTCCACACCAGATCAGCCACCTTCCAATTTTTACATTGTTCAGGCACAACAATAGTTTCAGCAAGGCAATTATTAAGACCTGGAATCCAGGTATCATTCCACACATTAACCTCTCTGCCATCTCCTATTCTCCAAAGCAACTCTTTTTTTAACAAGTCTCTTCCAACAAGCAGACTATACCAGATCCAAGATGCCTTTCCGCCCTTCTTTGCTTCAAGAAAGCCTGTATTAGGAAAGTAGATTCCCTTCAAAACCTTCACCCACAAATCATCAGAATTATTAAGCATTCTCCATGCTGTCTTTGCTAAAAGAGCATCATTCATTATTTCAAAATCTCTGAATCCCATTCCACCATCTGCTTTAGCCTTTGTTAAACTCTTCCAATTTTTCCAATGAATTTTCCTGCCCTCCTTACCCCCATTCCACCAGAACCGTGCCACAATGCTGTCTAATTCTTTATAAGTCTTCCTTGGGAACTTAAAGCAATGCATAGGATATATCGGGATTGCACTAATGACTGATTTGATCATCGTTTCTCTACCAGCAGGAGACAAGAGTTTACTACTCCATCCTTCCACCTTTCTTCCTACTCTTTCTTTAATATATGCCAGGGCCTGCTGCTTGGTTTTCCCCCAGGTATTCGGAACTCCAAGATACTTCCCAGGTTCATCTATATCTTTGATATTCAGAATCCTGCAAACTCGATCCCTTACTTCTGGAGTAACATTCTTCGAAAAAAGGATTCCAGATTTGGCCAAATTAGCTTGCTGACCAGAAGCTTTACAGTACTCTTTAAGGATAGTATCCAATCTCTCACAATTATCATCACTTGCACGCATAAAGAACAACACATCATCAGCAAAGAAGCTATGTGTCAGCATTGGACATCCATTTGCAATTCTGATTCCTTTCAAACCACCAATTTCAGCTTGTTTGGCAATCATTCTTGACAGCACTTCAACAACAAGAATGAATATATAAGGGGATAAAGGGTCCCCTTGCCTCAATCCTCTTTCAGGTTCAATTACTGCCACTCTTCTTCCTGAAAGACAAAGATTCAGTTTGACAGTAGTTATACATCTCATAATCAACCTGACCCATTTCTCATTGAAGCCAAATTTCAGCATAGTAGCTTCCACAAAATCCAACTCAACTCGATCATATGCCTTACTCATATCCATCTTCAAGGCAAAATCAACTCTTTTTGCTTTCTTCCTTCTTCTCAAAAAGTGGAAAACCTCATGTGCAACAATTACATTATCATGGATAAGCCTGCCAGGGACAAAAGCCCCTTGGTTATTGGAAATGCAAGAGCTTAACCATGGCTTTAGTCTATTGGCAAGAACCTTCGAAATAATTTTGTAAGCAAAGTTACACAAACCAATAGGCCTAAACTGACTCACATTCTCAGGTTTATCCACTTTAGGAATAAGGGTGATATTAGTCTTCAGATCTTCTATACATCCTTCCTCTTTGAAAAAATTTCTCACCATCAACCACACTTCTTCCTCTACCACCTGCCAAGATGAATGGTAAAATTTACCATTAAAGCCATCTAGTCCTGGTGCTTTGTTTCCTCCCAACTGAAAAGCAGCCTCTTTCACTTCTATTCTACTAACAGGGCACATGAGGGCTTCATTCATATTTTTTGTGATACAGCTATCAATGTACTTCAGTACATTTTCAAAACTTCTTTTATCTGAAGATTTAAACAGATCAGAAAAATAATCAGCAAAGCAGCCAGATATCTCACTTTCCGATTCCAACCAACCTCCACTATCCTTCTTAATCTTCAAGACAGTATTTCTTTGTCTTCTTCGTATAGTAGAGAGATGAAAGAAACTAGAGTTCATATCTCCAGCTTGCAACCAAGAGACTCTAGATCTTTGGCACCAGTAAGCTTCCTCATTTTGCCAAAGTTTATCCAGATTAGCTTCAATTTCACTTACTTTTCCCATTACCTCTTCAGTGAAGTTTCCCTTGTAACAATCTGCAAGCTGGCCAACCAACTTTTCAATCAACTTTTTATTGTTTGGGAAAGAATTTTTCTTCCATATCATCAACTCTTTTTCACAATTCTTTAGCCTTCTTATCACATCTTTAATACAATCTTCCTCTATACCTTCCACTCCCTTCCAGCCTCTCCCTACCACCTTTTCAAAATCAGGATGGGAGGTCCAAATATTCTCAAACTTGAAGCTCCAGGGCGTTTTAATCCCATTAAAGCACAGGTCAATCACCAAAGGGCAATGATCAGAGCCAATTGGTTCTAAATGGAAGACCTGAGCTTTTGGGAATTGCTCTCTCAACTCAATATTTCCAAGAGCTCTGTCTATTCTTTCTTTTATGTGTCCCTCATTCATCCTTTTGTTACACCAGGTGAACATTTGGCCTTGAAAGCCCAGATCAATCAATTCACAATCAGCTATAAACCTTTGAAAATTTAGGATTTTCCTTGCTGCCCTCGGTCGCCCTCCCTTCTTTTCTTCTTGAGTAGCAAGGTCATTAAAATCACCAGCACAGAACCAAGATCCTCTTACTTCTCTAGAAAATTCCCTAATTATATTCCAGATTTTGTTTCTTTCCCTTTCTTTCACCGCACCATACACCAGTGTCACAAAATCTGGAGTTTCAACGATGCTTGAATCCACTCTAAAGTGAAGGATATTTCCTGAAGCATACAGCACTTCCATTTTGATATCTCTACACCACCAAGCACATAGTCCTCCACTCCTTCCCACAGGATCAAAAACAAACCCATTATCTATACCGCACTGTCTCCTCACCCTCTCCACCACTTCCTTTTTCTGTTTTGTCTCCATTAAGAAGATTAAATGGGGTTTTTTGCTTTTTACTACCTGCTTCAGGTTTCTTACTGTCAAGGGAACCCCTAACCCTTGACAGTTCCAGCATAGTGCATTCATGGCTCTTTGGTGGCTGTTGAGGGCCAGCCACCATAGCCACCTGCTATATCACCAAGTTCTGCTATATCACCACCTTTTACACATGGGGACTTCATATCAAGACAGCAAATCATCCTGGATTCAGTATGTTCAATTTCTTCTCTTCTTATTCTTCCTCTTCTTTTACTCTGCCTTTTTGCCATTCTAACACTCTTCCTTGCTCCTATAGTCTGTGTATTAACCTGTACAGGAGCTATCTCATCAATAAGATGCTCAAAATCCAGTCTTCTCTTTTTCACACCAGCACCTGTTCCTTCTTCTTCAAGTTTTCTCTTCAACCCAACTTTCTCCAATCCTTTTGTTACCTCAGACATTGGGGATATACTCCCATACACAATGATAGCTTTATTAATGTTTTCAGATTCAGAATTCTTGCTTACTTCAGCTCTTTCTTTCTCCATTTCAGTCTGTACCTTTTCTCTTACTTCCTTTTTCACCAATTTCTCTGAAACTACAAGAGCTTGATCTCCACTTTCACTTTGTTCTTTTTTCAAATCAGTTGATTTCCTGCTTCCTTCATCCTCAATCACTGCCCGTGTAGTATCAACTTTAAAACTTCCACTACCAGACTCAGAATTAGTCTTTTCCACATTCTCCTTGTTTTTTTTATTTTCAACTAGTTCCACCCTTTTTAGCATCCTCCCCATTCCTCTACCTCCTAACTCTTCCCAATCCTCCTTACAGGGTTTAATAGCCTCTTCCATCCATCTTGCAGCTTGTATACCAAGCCAGCTTCCATATTCAATTTCCACATATGCATCCTCATCTCTTTTTTCAGGACATGATCTTAAGTCATGCCCAATTTTTCCACAAGCAAAACAGAAGTTCTGTAGTCTTTCATATCTGACTTTTATTCGCATCGGTTCCTTCCCTGGCCTTGGAGACCGTAAGCCAGAGATTAATGGCTTCCTTAGATCCACGAGCACTCTTACTCTTAAGAAGTTTCGCACCATTAGATCATTCTTTTTCGGATTTTCAACTAACACCACCTCACCAATCTTCTCTCCCAACCGTATTGCATTCTCAATATCAATCACAGCAGGAGGTAGATCATGGAATTGAATCCAAAAAGGACAGTAATTAAAGTCTACCTCATCAAACAGCATGTCATCATTCCATTTCTGTATATTCAGTAAGCATCCGTTGATCGACCACGGTCTTCCACGTAAAATTCTCAGAGCTTCTTCTCTACGTTTGAAATTGAAGATGAAGGCCTTCCGATTAATCTCCACAATCTCAAGATCCTCTCTACTCACCAGATTCCAACCTTTACGAATCATCTGGATCGTTGTAGCAGGATTTAAATTCTTCTCTGTGATCATCTTCCCTGCCAAAGTACCACCATTCCACGTTTTCACATCTGTTTGCTTCCAGATCAGATCTACATCCGGCTCTTCTAAGGTCTTACCCGAACCACCTTCTCCATGCTTCCTTTCTCTAACCATCCTGTCCTCCAACAAACAGTCCTCAACAATCCTTTATTACAACGAGCAATAAAGGATCTCACTCTTTAATCTCCGCCGCAGTGGGCAGCGGAGCACTCTTAGTCTCCCTCCTCACCGTCGCAAGCAGCGGCGGAACAGAAGGCGTGAAAGAGGCGACGATAACCGTCGTAACAAACTCTCACTTCAGGAGAGAGAAAAAGCTCCCACGTAGGAGAGAGACCTTGACTCCAATTGAAGAGGAGCAAAGCTGGCCTCAACGAAAAGAGGGAGAGGACAAACCAATCAAAATCAAAATTCAAAATAGTCAAATATGGTGACGACTTTTTATTTATATATATATTGGCGTTGTTGGAATTGGTAGGAGCAGGAGTAGGAATTGGAATGGTCAGCAGCGGAAGGTGATGAGTTGACATACTCTACGCGTACTGTCCTTTTTTCTTTATTTTGCTACTCTCCTCAGCTTGTCCACTCCTTGCTCCACAACCTTCGTTGACATAACATTCCCACGCCTTTTTTTTCCCTATAAAAATATATTCTTCCGATGCTTAATATAGAACTTAATTCTTGAGTTGGTTTTGGTCCTAAATATAAAACCCCTTTCTCATATTTATCAATTATCTCTAAATTACCCTTATGAATACTCCCTCAACTATAATCACGTAAAAGAGGGAGATGGGGTATTAAGAAAGATGATTATGGTGTTTTAGGAAAAATGTGTCACTTTTCTTATAATTAACTAATTTACCTAACTTCCTTAATCTAATCAAATTAGTTAAATGGGTCTTATATTAAGGACCTGAGGAGTATAATAATAATTCGTCTGCTTCATTATTTGGGGCTGCGTATTGTCTGTTGTTGTTCTCAACAGCAACTGGATTTATTATAACCTTTTTCGTAGCAGTTTTTAAAATTATTTATATGATTCGAATTTTACTGTTCTTTCGTTAAGTATTTTTAATGGTTCATTATTTATGAGACGGACGTTGCTTAGGAAAGACTTTTTTTTTTGGGGGCTGAAATATTGCGTGGCCTTTTAGACGAGGCAACAAACAAGGCGACGCTAATTTAATATAGTGCCACATCAATTTCTTATTGTCTGTATTCTTTTTTAGCATCAGCATTAATTATTATCGAGGGCAAAAATGAAATACTAGACAAGTATACCTCCAATATAACTCGTAATGAAAGACGAATAATAGGACTAACATAATCTTTAATCACTTAAATCTGTTATAATTTTGGTTTTGGATCCTTAAAATTCAAATAATAGGTTTTGATCCAAATAATCTAAGTTTTTATTGAATTATAGGGATCAATGTCTTAAACAAAATGAAATTTAAGGGATCAAAACCTATTATTAGAAATTTAATAGACCAGAACTAAAATAATGATAAATTTTAAAAGTCAAAATTTGTGTTAACCCTAATAATAATAATAATAATAATGACAATTGATAATTTTACAGATAATTATCTCTGAGTAGCATTGATATTGTAGTTAGCCAGGTTATGGCCGGATTGGGTTTCCAGTCACGTGAACAGGGGATGGGACGAGGCGCTTGCTGAACCGGATTACATTGTTTTATTGCTCATCAAGTCTGTGTCCGTCTCTCCATCGCCTTGACCGTTCCTTCTGCCCCATACACTGTACAGTACATCCCAATTTTGTTCGCTTTGCGCCAACCCAGGGCTCACGTCCCTCGCCCGGTTCTTCAAATTCTCACGATACTATTATCTCACAAAAATATTAAATTTTAAGACAAAATTAATAAAATTCGTACTTATAAAACAAAATAATAAGACGCGAGGAGTACTGGTTCCAGAGCTTTCGAACGCCAGACGGCACCGCTTGGAATGAAGGCCGGCACCTTACACTTGTCCTTCTTATTGGCAGCCACGACTAAGGGAACACTGGCATATTAAAAAATACTACTACAATTTTAGTGGATCACAGTCACATCACCTTCTTCGGGACCAACTGGGGCTCTCTCTCTCTCTCTCTCTAGGACCATTGAGTTCTGATGACTACTTCAGCTTAATCTCATGCTTGCCAGTTGGGCTTGTGCTGAGCTATATGCACAGGGAATTATGCAAAAGGTTGAAAAGCCGGGAATTGTTACCCAAGCCAAGGCGAAGAAGGGCTGGTGAGTGATTTGCTGAAATTTTTCTGGTTAACCAGCCTTTTTTCACCAACCCTCCTGTAATATTATTAGTTATATTACCCAATCAAATTAAGCTCATCACCCTTCCAGTCGCTTAACGTCCCCATACACCAGGAAAATTTAATTAAACATCCCCTTCATTCAAAGACTCCGTCTATTTGATGGCTATCAAATTGTAAACTCCATTCTGACTTATTGGCCGGGAGGTCTGTTCTAACTCCTCTCTCTGGCTATGCTTAGTGGCCACTGAATTGTTTATTACTCCTCCGCTCTTTAATATAGGACTTAATTATTTAATTGATTTTGATTATAAATATAAGACCTATTTTTCATATTTATCAATTTTTTCTAAATTATCTTTATGAATCTCCCTCAACCATAATCAAGTAAAAGAGAGAGAGGATGTTAAGAAATATGCATGATTGTGGTGTTTTAAAAAAAAAAAGTTATATTTCTTATAATTAACTAACTTATTTAACTTTTTTAATCTAATCAAATTAATTAAACAGATCTTATATTAAGAATCAGGGTATTTTATTTTTACCAGTGTTGAGTTATAAAGCTGTGAATATAATATTGCAGTGAAGTGAAGGAATAATAATCCAGGAGGTTTGATTGTTGGGGGCAGAAGAAATTAGAAGTTGGAAAGTCAAGACTATATTTTGTTGGAGGGCTTTTAAAGGGGATGGAGGGGACAAGTGTGTCTGGTTGGGAAAAATAGAGGGGAGAGGGGGAAGAAATTTGTCTCCCCTCCCCTCCCCATGCTCCCCTCTAAATTTGAAGTTTTTTTGGAAGGAAAAGAAATATTATGTCTAATATTGACTAAACTACTCATACTAACTTTTTTAATATTTCAGGTTTGTCCATCTTATTAAAATTCTTTTTTTTCACTTCTTTCTCTTTTTAGCCACTAATAATATTTAATAATGATAATATAATATTATAATCATATAATATATACATATCATATATATTAATATATACATATTATAACGTGCGTGTTATAATTATATAATATATAAATCTCATATATATTAATACATATATTTATAAAATTAATGAAATAGAATGTTAAATTTTTTTATCATATTTTCTATTTTTTTTTAGTTTTATCATTTTTTAATGACATGTAAAGGAGATAATTGGTTTATTTTTGAAATTGATAAATTAAGAAATAATAATTTTGATATAAATATTGTAATAAAAAATAAATCAATCTAAATATAGAGATAATAACATATTTGTCAATTTATAATTATCTCCCCTCTCCTCTTCTTATGAACTAAATAAGAAATCTCTCTTTGCTTCTCCTTCTCTCCAACCAAATAAAATCATGACCTTCTTCTTTCTTTTCTCCCCTTCTTTTAATTAACCTCATCTACCTCTCCTTCTGTTGAATCAAACAAAGCCTAAAGTGTGTTGGAGTAATTCTGGTATGGGGGTGGGGTTGATGGGAGGCTGACGAGAAGTGAAGTGAGTCAAAGAGGAGTGATACGGCGAGAAATAATGAAGGAGTTAGGTGAAACGTTCGCCCATATTGTCCTTTATTGGAAGGGGGTAGGTGGCTCTCTACTTTACAACCCCCATCGCCCCCTTCCTTATTTTTCGCTTACGGTTGTATTTTTCAAATAATAAGTTTTAGGATATGGCGAGACCAATCCACATCCACATCTATAATATCGATAATATATATTACTTCCGATCTTAATTATAAGAGCTAATTCACTAATTTGAGAAAATTAAGAAAATAAGTTAAATTAGTTATTTGTAATAAATAGGTGTTGTCTTTCCTAAAATATCCTTACTAATCAAGTATGTTAGTTAAAACTATAATTATTAAAAGGATTATCTTAGAAAAAATTAAGTAAATATGAGAGACAAAATAGATTGGAGTCTTATATTTAGGACCAATATAAAACTCAAATGAAGTCTTATATTAAGGACCGAAAGTAGTATATGTATTGCCGGATCATATCCCATCCACATATAAGTGATATATGGATGGCTTAATAAAAAAACGTTCTATTAGTGTGGTGTTACAATGATAAACGGCACAGTTTGATCAATTTAGTTAAAGATTTATCAATTAACATGATTTGATAAGTAGCAGTGGGGTCTCAAAGAACATGACACGTGATTTAATTTAACAGGTTTTGGCGTCCAATTAGCTTAAAGTCAAATACGTTGGCTTTCCTGGCTTTTCTTACAGGAGAAGGCGTCGTTTATTACATTGTATAAGCCGGACCCATTGCGCCCTCCGGAGCTCACCATCACATGCCCTTTTCCCACACACAGTCATTGGCAGTTCAATTGCCGACCCAAATCAATACTCAGCCTCTCTATTTATAAATGACCTTCCGCAATTTTTTATTACAATTAATAAAAAATTTTAATTTTATGTGCACTATTTTAGAATTTTTCTTATTTCGGGTGGCTCTTGTAGTCCTAATCTACTATGGTTAGGTCAACATAAACGTGCGTGTCTAGCTCCGAGTCAATAATTTTTGAAGTACGTAGTGCAAAAGTTTTTTTTTTTTTTGCTAAAGCTTATATATTATCCTATTGAAGGCAAATCATATTCGAGATATTGTCAAGCACTAAATGTAAACACCTCTCTCAACGGGGATTCGAATCTTGATTTGTCGCGTTGTGAGGAATTAGTCTTTTCTTCTGGCTCCAAGCCCCATTTGTGAAAACATTACGAGCTTTTTAACTAACATAATTATGGTTCCGTGACTTCGCTTTGTGCTCTTGTATAGAAATACAAGGAACGATTAATATTAGAGTAAAATATATTGACTACCCCTCTGCTTTACTTAAATTACAGAAACCTCCCTTTTATTTTAAAATATATATAAACTTCCCTCCAAATTAAAATGTATCTTACACAAATCTCCCTTATATTTTTAAGATTCAATTTTCATCCATCCATCCAACTGTTAGTTAACCGTTAAGTTTGACTTTTAAATTTTTATTTTGACCAAAATATCTTTCTTTAACATAAATGTTACTTAAACATTTAAATAAAAAAAATTTGATACAACAAAAAATAATTATAATACATATATTTTCAAAATTTTTAATACGTTATAAAAATTTTTAATTTCAATTATATTATAGAATTATATAATTTTAGTTCCTCATGAAATATTGAAACTTAAGATTTTTTTTTAAATGGCTAGAAAATATTTTGAATGCTTATTTCCTTATCACATAGTATAAATTATGTGAGTTTGGAAACTTGTATAAATTATTTAAATCTATGTTTGCATTAACTAAATTACTTAATTTTTTGGCCCAATACCATAAAAACATTAAACAAACAACAATTATCAAAAATAAAAAAAAATAAAATAAGGTAAAGGACAAAATCTTAAATTCTTTGATATAGTTTTAACTAAGATTTTGGGATTTAGTATTATGAAGGGTAATTTAGCAGATAGAAAGTATTTCAATATAAATTTGAAATAAAATTTTTTTGAAACATTCTTAATGAAGTTAACAGTTTAGATCTAAGTGTATGTTTTCAAAATAGAAAGGAAGTATGTATAATTAAGACAAAATACAAGAGAGGTTGGCCTATTTTACTCTTAATATTATTTGTGGAATTTGTGCGAGTGATACAAATCATTGCGAATTTATATTTTATATTTACATCACAACTAAGGTCAACATTGACTGAATATACTTTCATTTGAGGAAGTCAGACCGCATGTTTTTGTGGGAAAACTTTGGTGGTTATTACCCGGCCAAAAAAAAAGGGTGACCATTAAGTTATCTTGGGGTTGGCAGACCACTTTATGATTATCCGTTCTAAAACTCAATTAAAAAATGAATTTTGAAACATTCAAATATATGAAGTGACGGGGCAATTCATTCTCAATGTCACGCGATAGTTGGGTCAGACTTTGACATCGTCAAATGCGGAATAAACTATTGCTTCCGTTTTTTAAAAAATAGGGTTTTTGAGATTTGAGAAATATAATCCATAAATATATGGATATATTACCAAATATAACCCTCACTAATATGTTAAATAAATTGAAGTTATTGAAACAAATAAGAATACGATAGGAAAAAGGGAAAATCCCAAAAAAAGTCCTTGGAATATAGGAAATGCCAGATTGGGTCCTTAAATTTCAAAAATGACAAAATGGGTCATTGACCCAATCTGTCATTTGTGAAATTCAGACGAATTGACAATTTTGCCCTCATTTATTCATTCACTATAATGATTCAAGGAATCACTATAAGAGTTTAGGTGTTACCTAGATTCGTGTAGCGAATAACTACTCACTTTTTCATAATCAGGTGTCTTGTTATTAACTACAACTAATTCTGTAATCACTAGAACAATGTAAGCATTATCTAGATTTGTATAGACAATAACTACTCATTTTTTCATAGTCAGATATCTTATTATTGTCAGGTACCTTATTATTAACTACAACGAATCTTATAATCACTAGAACAGTGTAAGCGTTACCTAGATTTGTTTAGAGAATAACTACTCACTTTTGCTTAGGGGCAAAATTGTCAATTCGCCTGAATTTCACAAATGACAAATTGGGTCAATGACCCATTCTGTCATTTTTAAAATTTAAAGACCCAATCTGAGATTTGGTATATTCCAAAGGCTTTTTCTGGGATTTTCCCTAGGAAAAATCTTAACGTGGATTATTCTGGCAAATACTGAAATCCAAATAGTAATAAAGAATAAAACGGCTTCAAGTGATTAGACGTGAAAGCTCCCACACTCTGATTGATGATTATACTATTATTGGCCTGTTTGGTGTTTATGCGATTATGTCAAGTCCACTGTATATAACTATCGCACAATCTCCTTTCTCTGAAGTATTGACGATACGTAGACGTTGCTTTCACTCTTAAAATAGTAAATACTATGTTTTAAATAAAATCTTTTTTTACGAGTTTTTCATGTATCTCAGCAACGCATTATATTCATTATTTTTTTCTCAACAATACACGGCTGAAACAAAACTGCAAAGGTGGGGAGCTGATTTATTTGACACCTTAAAAACTATGTTATTTGATTTTTATATTTTTTTAATTTTTATTATCACTATTCTTACAAATAGCTCTATATTTTGAGTGAAATGATTGTAGGGAACAAATCATTTACAAAAACATAAAACTTAAGATGTGAAGACACGACAATGAAACATACATATTGTCGTGATTAATATCAACATATTACCTTAGCGACAGCCAAATAAGGGTGATTAATGCCAAAAAAAAACGGCTTACTTTTATTATTTTCAAAATTATATTTAGCACCTTGATATTATTTTTTCAGCGGACTAGGCATCATATACTATAAATAATTAGTGTTAGGTATACCAGAAAGATATATGTAAAAACTAAATAAACCGTAAATAACTTGAAGAAGGTGAATGATGGTGATTAATGCAAAAAAAAAGAGAATAAAATAACAATTAACATTCTAATATCTAACATGCTCGTTTTACTGATAATGCATCAACCATCCTGATATCATTTTTTTGATACATCCATCATTCTAAACCATAAATAGGATTCAGAATACTTGATGCATTAGGGATGACATTAAGATGCTACTGAAAAATAACAATGACACATAAGAAAAAAAATCTTTAATTTCAATGGAATGGTGGGGTGTGGACAAGGAGGGAACAAAGGCAAAATTAGGAAAATGAATGGACATATGATAACTTGCTTCGGTTAAAGACCTTATTGTGAAGGAAATTACGGCTCAAAAGTTAAATGCATCACTTCGGTTACATGAACTTTGCGGGCGGGATCAAAATCAAAATTCAAAATGGTCAAATATGGTGACGATTCTTTATATATATATATATATATATATATTGGCGTCGTCGGAATTGGGAGGAGCCGGAGTAGGAACAGGAATAGTCAGCAGCGGAAGGTGATTAGTTGACATACACAACGCGTACTGTCCTTTTTTCTTTATTCTGCCACTCTCCTCAAGTTGTCCACTCCTTACTCCACAACCTTCGTTGACATAACATTCCCACCCCCTTTTTTTTTTCCTTTTTAAAAAAATATAACAATAATTCGTCTGCTTCGTTATTTGGGGCTGCATATTGTCTGTTGTTGTTCTCAACAGCAACTGGATTTATTATAACTTTTTTCGTAGCAGTTTTTAAAGTTATTTTTATGATTCGAATTTTACTATTCTTTCATTAAGTATTTTTAATGGTTCATTATTTATGATACGGACGTCAATCAGGAAAGGCAAATGCAACGGCACGCACCAGTGTTGCGTCTGGAATGATATTGCGTGGCCTTTTTTTTCTTCTTCTGGGGCTGAAATATTGCGTGACCTTTTAGACGAGGCAACAAACAAGGCGACGCTAATTTAATATAGTGGCGCATCAATTTCTTATTGTCTGTACTCTTCTTTAGCATCAGCATTAATTATTATCGAGGGCAAAAATGAAATACTAGACGAGTATACCTCCAATATAACTCGTAATGAAGACGAACAGTAGGGCTAATATAATCTTTAGTTTCTTAAATCTGTCTTTATTTTGGTTTTGGATCTTCAAAATTCAAATAATAGGTTTTGATCTTTCAAAAAACAAAACGTTCTAAGTTTTTATTGAATTATAAGGATCAATATTTTAAACAAAATAAAATTTGAGAGACCAAAAATTATGATTAAAAATCTGATAGACCAAAACTAAAATGAGGATAAATTTAAATCACCAGAATTTGTATCGATGATTTTTACAGATAACTATCTCTGCGTAGGATTGATATTGTCGTTAGCCAGGTTATGGCCGAATTGGGGTTCCAGTCACGTGAACAGGGGATGGGACGAGGCGCTTTGTTGAATCGGATTACCTTGTTTTATTGCTCATCAAAGTCTGGGTCCGTTTCTCCATCACCTTGACCGTTCCTTCTGCCCCATACATTGTACAGTATATCCCAATTTTGTTAGCTTTCCGCCAACCCGGGGCTTACGTCCTTAGCCCAGTTCTTCAAATTTTCACGATACGATTATCTCACAAAAATATTTACTTTTAAGACAAAATTAATAAAATTTAGTAATTTATGTGGTTTGATTAAAAACATACCAAAAGGTACTTATAAAACAAAATACTAAGGGTTCGTTTGGATTAGCGATTGGAAAAGCAGCTTATAGAAAAAGTAACTTATGAAAAAGTGAAGTTGGTAAAAGTTAAATTGGATAAGCTGAATTGTGTTTGGATTAGAGTTCAGACAAGCTAGTTTACAAAAATGAGATTGGAAAAAGCTTGTTTGGATTATAGTTGAGTAAAAGTAATTTTGACTGAAAAATTACCAAAATGGGCATGAGTTTTAATAAATAATGAAACATGATTAAAAAAATAATTTCACATAATACAATAAAATTAAAATAATTTAATATGAAGAAGTCATAAAAAATATTTTAAATATAAAGTGAAACATGAAAAAATAAAAGTATATTTTTAGGAGCATATTTAAAAATAAAAATATATTTCTAACTTATTCATTACTTTTAACTAATTTTAATTGATTTTTTATTATTTACAAATTAGTTATTTGAGGCTTATAATAAGAACCAAAAGAAGTAATAAATTTCTTAACTTTTTCTCTCTCCATATTTCAAAAGCCATAAGCTATAAGCTGTTAATTTTAGCTTATAGCTTATTGTAGCTTTTCAGACAAAAGCCCGATTGCAAAAAAGCTGATCCAAACAGACCCTACTTTTGTCAATCAAACTTATAGAGCTTATAAGCTACTTATAAACTCCAAATAAGTGTTGCCAAACAGGCACTAAGACGCGAGGAGTATTGGTTCCAGAGCTTTCAAACGCCAGACGGCACCGCTTGGAATGAGGGCCGGCACCTTACACTTGTCCTTATTATTGCCAGCCACGACAAAGGGAACACAGGCATATTAAAAAATAATTAAATTTTAACTACAAAAATACTCCTGCTTAATAATCTTCCCCGGTTCTTAATAACAATATTTGTAAACTCCTCTGCTCACTTAGGACCATGTATGGAACGGAAGTCGTGCTTCAGTTAAACATTGGTTTAGAACTTTTGCTGAGCTGGGATATATTTAAATGGAATAAATGATCCAATGGGATATTTCTTTTATTTTTTATTTAAAAATACATATTTATTGTATATAATTAACACATATAATATTATTTTTTTAAATAATATTTTTTTATGAATGGTACATATAATATGATAACTGTTAATATTACCATTGCTTTTATGATTATATTATTGTGGATTTTTTTTTTTGGCCAAGACACTATTATCCTTCCCCAATGGAAAATTCAAGAGATCTGAATCGGTGGTTAACTTAACCCAGACAGATTCAAGGGTGATCGAGAACAAAATGTCAGGATTACGTTATGTTGTTGACGTGTCAGGATCCCAGTGGTTGATGAAGTCATAACTTATGGTAGGCCCCACATCAAGCCCTATTTATGAATTTTTATAGCTTAGAATTATGGGATAATTAATCCACCTTATAGTTTCAACTAATTTTGAATCAGGTCCTTATATTTTTTTCTTTTTATCAAGTTCTTATACTTTCACCTGTTTTTAATTAGGTTCTTATATTTATTTTTCTTTTTATCAAGTCCTTATAAGTTCACCTTATTTTTAATTAAGTCCCTGAATTTTTATTCTTTATTTTATAAATTCTAACAGTACTATTATATAAACAAAAAATAGTATATATTATTTAATATTAGTTTATAAACAATAATATTCTAAAGATATTGAATTATTATAATGATTTTAATTTTTTCAGCAAAAAAATTAATTGTTCTAAAAAATTTTCCTGAATTAATTAATTCTATTACTTTTTTATTACATAATTATTAATATTTTATATTTCAGTATTAATCTATTTAATTAAGCTTATATTTAATTAATAAATAAAAATTAAAACCACATGGACCTGATTAAAAATTTAGTGAAATTATAAAGACTTAATTAAAGAAAAATAAATACAAGACCTAATTAAAAAAAAGTATAAAAACTTAATAAAAGAAAAAAAACTATAGAGACCTGATTTAAAATTTATTAAAACTATAAGGACTTACGGATTAATTAATCCTAGAATTATTTATCTTCCCATCCACCTCCACCAACCCCCGCTTACCTACTACGAGGGCGCTCGCAAACAAGCACGCATGGACAGACTCGCCTTCCTAATATCTCTGACTCGCCTAACAAAATCACACTGTCAACTAACGCCGTCACCATCCCGCTACTCTTGGCACTTCCACATGCCACAAGCGTCACCTAACGAATGCCACTCCACCACCACACCCGCACCTATTTCCTTCCCCTATAAAACACCCAATCCGCTCTACCTTTCAACCAACCTCCATTTCTGAAAAATTATATTCCAACACTCCATCATCGTCGATTCAATATTTTCTCACCTGCCCACCATGGATCTCCTCCTCCTGGAGAAGACCCTGCTTGGCCTTTTCGTCGCCGTTGTCGTCGCCATTGCCGTGTCCAAGCTCCGAGGGAAGAAGTTCAAGCTTCCGCCGGGTCCCCTTCCGGTCCCCGTCTTCGGGAATTGGCTTCAGGTCGGTGATGATCTTAACCACCGGAATTTGACCGATTTGGCGAAGAAGTTTGGCGATGTCCTCTTGCTCCGGATGGGGCAGAGAAACCTTGTGGTGGTTTCGTCGCCGGAGTTGGCGAAGGAGGTGCTGCACACGCAGGGGGTGGAGTTCGGATCCAGGACTCGGAATGTGGTGTTCGACATCTTCACCGGTAAAGGTCAGGATATGGTGTTTACGGTGTACGGGGAGCACTGGAGGAAGATGCGGCGGATCATGACGGTGCCGTTTTTCACGAACAAGGTGGTTCAGCAATACAGGGAGGGGTGGGAGAAAGAGGCGGCGAGCGTGGTGGAGGACGTGAAGAAGAATCCTGAGTCGGCCACCAATGGGATCGTGCTGAGGAGGCGGTTACAGCTGATGATGTACAACAACATGTACAGAATCATGTTCGATAGAAGGTTCGACAGCGAGGATGATCCCCTCTTCCAGAAGCTGAAGGCACTGAACGGAGAGAGGAGTCGTCTGGCTCAGAGCTTTGAGTACAATTATGGCGATTTTATTCCCATTCTCAGGCCTTTCTTGCGAGGATACCTGAGAATCTGCAAGGAGGTTAAAGAGACGAGGTTGAAACTCTTCAAAGACTACTTCGTTGACGAGAGAAAGTAAGTCCGTCCTTCTTTCCCTCCTTTCTTGCCGTTCTTTTTTTTTTTTTTTTTGATACTATTGCCGTTCTTTATTTTTCCCTCGTTCACGCGCAGACTGTTTTCTTTTTCGTATGATCTCATTTTAACTTTTTTAAATAAAAATCTCAAGATATTTAATTAGAAATGTCAAGTATTTTTTGGGAGGAGAGTCAAATAAATAAAAACTTTAGACCCAGACAAAAATTTGTCCTGCTTATTAGAGTATATCAGACCGAAAAGGCATGGAAAGTTTTGTTTGGGTCTGTGCATTGGAAAACGGGAAACTGTGCCAAAAACAGTTAAGAGAGGTGCTTTTACGAATGTTGCTGGAACGATGATGAGCTGGAATATGCTTAATTTGTTGTCCTGGTCCATAAGGTTTTTCTGGATGTAAGTACTAAAGAACGAACAAATGGCTGGTAACAGGAAACTGGCAAGCACCAGGAGTCCGAGCCATGGGGAACTAAAATGTGCAATTGACCAC